TGCCCTTGGGGGCTTGCCACAGAGGAACAAAACCTGACAACATGCATCAGGTGATGATTAAGTGTCATGGAGAAAATCAAACAGGGTAATGTGACTGAGGGTTCCTTGGGTGGGGGTATCTAGAACGTCATTGGCGTAGAGCCCTGAATGACAAACCAGAGCCTCCTCAGGGAGGAGCACTACACAGGGACAGTGAGGCTGGGCTGCAGCAAGCAGGGGAAGAAGAGGATAGAGGTGGGCAGGGGACAACTCGGGGAGGGCCTGGGTAACACTGATTTGAAGGGCTACCGGGGCCATTCTGCAGGAAAGAAATGAAAAATGGTCTGTATTTTTAAATGACTGCTTCAGCTGCTGGGTGGAGACTGGATGAAAGAGTACAGGGGTAGGAGCAGGGGGCAGAGCAGCTGTCTGTGGCCTGTATTGGGGTGGTGGTAGTGGGGCTGTACAAACAGAGGAGCTGAAGTATTTTGTGATGAAACCATCAACCGGACTTGTGGGACACTGGTGGAAAGAGAGAAAATCAAGAATGAAGCTCAAATTTTTCTTTTTTTTTTGAGATGGAGTTTTGCTCTTGTTGCCCAGGCTGGAGTGCAATGGCGTGATCTCGGCTCATTGCAACCTCTGTCTCCCAGGTTCAAGCAGTTCTCTGGCCTCAGCCTCCCAAGTAGCTGGGATTACAGGCATCCGTCACCATGCCCTGCTAATTTTTATATGTCAGTAGAGATGAGGTTTCACCATGTAGGCCAGGCTGGCCTTGAACTCCTGACCTCAGGTGATCTGTCCGCCTTGGCCTCCCAAAGTGCTGGGATTACAGGCATGAGCCACCACACCCAGCTCCAAGTTTTTCTTTTAACAGTGGGGTGGGTAGTGATGTGCCATTTCTGAGAATTCTGAGGAATGGGGGTTCCGTTTATGGAGAGGAATCAGTATTTGGTTTTGGAAGTCAAGTTTGATGTGTCTTGGACAACCGGAAGGAGATGTCAACTAACAGCTGATGTGTAACTCTGGAGCTCAGTGCTCAGAGGTCAGGGCAGGGGATACTTTTTTTTCTTTTTTGAGTCTTCAGTAGAGAATGGTAGTTCCAACTAGTGAGCTTTCCTGGGGAGGAAGAGACGGCTGTCCAGGGGCCCAGCCCTGGGACTTTCCAAGTTTAAAAGCCCAGGGAAGGAAAAAAAGCCAGCCAGAGAGTCTGGGTCTCCTCCCAGATGCCTCCAAGCTCTATTTCCCACCACTGTGGAAAATATTCCTGAAGAGTTAGCAGGAACATACAGGAAGGAACTTCAAGGAATAAAGGATCTAGCTTTCCAGAAAGGCCTGAGGCGTGCTGGGGTCAGTAACGGCAGGTGGGAGAAAGAAAAGCGAGGAGAGCACTCCTGGAAAAGGGAGAGGATTCCTCCTGATAAACATGCCCGGCATTTCCTCTACTTATTTAATTCCCACAATAATCCTGAGAAGTCTATTCAAATGTTCCTACTTTATAGATGAGAAAATGGGGCTAGTACCCATGGAATGGCGAAGAGCCAAGATTTGAATTGTTTATTGTAAAACATTATATACACACATACAGAAGAGTGTGTGAACTGGGAAAGGGCAATGAATGTTTATAAAGCACGTGCTTGCGCGGCCCTGACTGGTTAGAAGTAGAAGGCCGAAGCCTTGAGGAGGCCCCTATATAACTTCTCCCAAAACCTGCAGCCCGCTCAGGCGAGAGCTCATTCAGAGCTTGTGTTTGTGTCTTCAGTTCCTTGCTTTCGGGTTTCTGTTTCAACTAAACACTAGTTTAGTTGTCTTTTTTTTTTTGTAAAGAGACAGGGTTTTTCTGTTGTCCAGGCTGGAGTACAGTGAGTAGCTGGGAGTATGGGTGCATGTCCGGTGGCTCACACCTATAATCCCAGCACTTTGGGAGGCCGAGGCAGGTGGATCACAAGGTCAAGAGATCAAGACCATCCTGGTCAACATGGTGAAACCCCGTCTCTACTAAAAAATACAAAAAATTAGCTGGGCACGGTGGCGCGTGCCTGTAATCCCAGCTACTCAGGAGGCTGAGGCAGGAGAATTGCCTGAACCCAGGAGGCGGAGGTTGCGGTGAGCCGAGATCGTGCCATTGCACTCCAGCCTGGGTAACAAGAGAGAAACTCTGTCTCAAAAAAAAAAAAAAAAAAAGACTACTGCACCTGTCTCACGCCACTAGAATTTTGAATGTGTGGTCTACTGATTCTCAACCTTCGCTGTGCATGAGAATCACCCGAGGAGTAAAACGTAAAGATGCAGATATTTGTGACCTACCTGTTCTAGACTCTTGATTCAGCAGCTCTGTACAGAGGTGGTCACCTGAACTTTGGAAAATGTCACCAGAGGATTCTCATGCTCGGCCAAGGAGAGGACCAGAGCTCCGGTCCCTTCACTGGCCTAGGGCTAGGCTCCTTTAATCCATCTGCAGGAGCCAGAAAAGGAGGGTAAGTGGAGGTGTGGGGCTGGGCACTCAAGAAAGCAGGTGAGAAGGGCTGAGGCAGAGCACAGAGCCAGCGGATCTGCACTGGAAAAGTCCCATCTGTGGAATCACCTGGCTGGCGAATGAGGGGAGAAGCCTCAAAGGAGAGAGAAGCGCTGCATAAAGGAGGATGGTGTCGGTTTGCTGCTCCCTCACTTAGTTATGTGAGTTTCTACTGCCTGAAAAGTTCTCCCTAGGCAGATGTTTTTTCTCTTCCAGTCTACATTTTGTTATCTTTCCCTATCTTTAACAGCACCACTCCTTACTTTAAAAAAAAATTAAATTTTATTTTTTGGGACAGGGTCTCACTCTTTCACCCAGGCTGGAGTGCAGTGGTATGATCAGAGCTCACTGCAGCCTCACTCTTCCGGAGGTGAGGGATCCTCCCGGCTCAGCCTCCCAAGTAACCGGGCCTATAGGGGTGCGCCATCATGCCCAACTAATGTTTGTGATTTTTAGTAGAGGCGAGGTCTTGCTATATTGCTCAGGCTGGCCCTGAGCTTAAGCATCCTCCTGTGAAAAGTGCTGGGACTGCAGGAGGGAGCCGCTGCCCCTAGCACTCCTTACTTCTGTAAGGCCTCTATTAACTCAGAGTGAGCACTGTCCAACTCATATAATCAATATTCAGAGAAGCAATAATGTGTAGCACACACTGATAGCTCCTCTGCTGACTCAGCTCCTCCGATCACTGTGCAAGAGTGAACAGGAGGGAGCTGTGAGTTACTGGAGCTGAATCTGAGTGGAGAGGTTTGGGGCACATGTCAGAGCTGCCACCCGTGAAGAGACAACACTGTGCTTCATCCAAAGCCTTCCCCAGATCACTCTGGCTCCTTCTCCCTGTCCTGTAGCGTTCCAGCCTAGAGTGACCTAGAAATCTGCTAGTTAAACAAGCTCATAAAGCTGTTCAAATGTTTCTTTAAAACAAGACAAAACAAAACATACTAGTCAGCTTCCAGCTTCATTTAGATAATCTTTAAGCCTAATTTAGAAATATGACCCCCCACTAAGTCCCTTGCCTGTCATTAATAACCTGAATGAGCTGGTGCAGGAGTGTGCCCCTGTAGTCCTAGCTACACAGGAGGCCGAGGCAGGAGGATCCCTTGAGCCCAAAAGTTTGAGACCAGCCTAGGCAACATAGTGAGACCCTGTCTCAAAAAAACAAAAACAAACAAACAAACAAAAACTATTTGAATGACTTGGATGTAATGCAAGCCTTTATGTGACAAGTGTTCTGTAAAGTGCTTTATGTCTATTACATATATGTAAGCAATACATATATTATCTCATGAGATCATCACAACCACAAAGTGAGGATGGTATCACTATCCCAATTTTATTGGTGAAGGAGCTGAGTCTCAGAGGTGCCCAGTATGCTGCTGGAGAAGAGCTTACCAGTGAGGGGCAGAGTTGCCGAGCAGCCAAGGCTCTCTGGTGGGCCATTCAACGTTTCTTTTCATGGCTAGGGGTGAGGACTGTTGATTTTGAGCCATGGAGCCACTTCCGTGGTAACTTTCTTAGCGCCTTCTGAGGTCCCTAAGTACTTATGGATAACATTTCTTTCCTTTTTTTGAGACAGAGTCTTGCTCTGTCACCCAGGCTGAAGTGCAGTGATTTGATCTCACCTCACTGCAACCTCTGCCTACCAGGTTCAAGTGATCCTCCTACCCCAGCCTCCCAAGTAGCTGGGATTACAAGCATGTACTACTATGCCTGGCTAATTTTTGTATTTTTAGTAGAGATGGGGTTTTGCCATGTTGGTGAGGCTGGTCTTGAACTCCTGACCTCAAGTGATCTACCCTCCTTGGCCTCCCAAAGTGCTGAGATTACAGGTGTGAGCCACGGTGCCCAGCCACCATTTCTTTCTTGATTTTTTTGTTTAATCACCAGTAAGACAAATACAACAAGGAGAGGACCCTTTTCAAAACTGAATACATAGGTTCTGAACGTCCTCTTTGTATTCCACAGAGAAGAGGAGGAGGTGCAAGCCATGGCCTGGGATACTGCTTGAGGGCGTGGCCCATCACACAGGATATAGCCAAAGGTAAAGCCCCACCCTGGGCCATGATGACACAGACCAAAAAAATTCCACAATAACGCAACATCTAGGAACTCTGTTGGCTCTGTTTCTGAAGGATTTGAACTGGTTTGGCTTCTCAGAAATACAAATGATTCAGATAAGGCCAAGGCTGCTACGGTGGGCCAGATCCAACCGCTAAGCAACTTACAGTTCACTGGAGCTGTAATTCAGCAAACTCAGCTTGGCAGACGTGACTGGCCCCGAGAGAGGTACTCCTCACATGCCCCGCCTTCCCTCTACCCGCAGCGGCCTTCCTGGTGACAGCCCAGCCCCACACTGGAACAGAGCCTCACTGATGAACCAAAGCGCTCACAGTGTTAGTTCCATCATGAAGAGCTCCCGCTTGCTTACAGTGGGCAGTTGGTCTCCAATAAATCATTTCATTTCAGGGTTCTGAGGATTTTCCAAGGCATATAACCTACTCCTTCTTAC